TCTCAAAACTGGAAGAATGGATCTTCAGAAAGATCGACTTCTGTCCGGGATGCGCCATGCCTTGGGCTATCGTATCGGGATATGCGCAAGAAGGCATTATTGGTGGGAAAGCCGTCCTAGCTGCAATGCGGTCAGGGCACGTCCTACGCTGGGGAATCCTTAGGGGGGGGGGTGGTCGTAGTTCGCCGCTGGCTGGATCGTCTTGGTCGTAGAAAAAATTTTTTCGACAGTTGACTTTTCCTGTTTTATTAGCTATTCAAATCGATGGGAAAGTTACAATCGGGGAGGGGGGTGCGTATTTACTCATCGTTGAGAGGAGGGGGGTCGCACTTGCCTCTGAGAGAAATTCGCCTTGTCGCAAAATATTCTTTTTTCAGTTTTGGCTTTTCGCGGCTTTTCCTTTCCATTGCGGCTTGCCTTCTTCCTGCCCGTTCCGCTCAATGGCGAAATTCTTGGAGGGAAAGTGGAAACTTGTTTGGGAAATTCCGGAAAATGTTTTGGGCTGCTGGGAAAGGTTTGGAGGATGAAGGAAAGGGGAGGGGAGTCGTATTTTTTGGAAATTCTCCCCAGTGGAAGAACGTGCCACGCCCCACACGTCCTACCGTTTCCAGTGATTATGATTTTACAAGTCAGCCTTCTAATCCTTCCAGACGAACCTGATACCAGCTTACCGTCCCCTAACGGCAGATGGTTTGGCAGGCCTGAGCCGCAGCAGGTCTGGGACTTAACCCCGAACCGTGCTTGTATAGGGTTCATAATCATATCTACTTCCCATCAGCGTGTCGAGCCAGAGGGATCAAAGTTTGTAAAGATCATAAAATACCTATCAACTAATTTAAAGCAAAGTGCACGTCGATGGGAAGTAGCGAAATCGCAAAATGCCCCCCCCCCCTCCTAGCCAACTTGTGCCCTTTGTCCTATTTTTTATAGGTGGATCCTTCACGTTTCCTTTGAAGTTTAATATCTTTCTGCCAAAACTTCACTTTTAAATCTTTTTAAAGTTCTTTGTTCCAATTGATCACTGTGCCCGGGGCTTGCGGGCAACCTGACGTACGAGTGGCGTGTAAAGCTGGTCATAAATCTTTCGGTAGCACAGAGCGATAGCAACGATTCCACGTTGCAACGAGGCCAGCTCTTCTATAGTTTCGTGGAAATTTAAAAAATTGACGTGCTTTATTTGTCGACTCTTCAGAGATCGAGTCAATTCCCATTATGACTGCGCTGCTCTACAGAGAGAATGGAACGGCACTCCCTCGATCAGCGGTATGCAGTACGGGTGGAGTTGTTTTCACTTGCTGCGACGAATATCTCACGATCACTTACCCTCACCTTACTTACTCTCACATAGCCCTAAAACTTTACTACCATGGTGGATAAACTTCTCTATCAGTCGAGTGAGCCAATTAACCGATTTCACGCATTTGATTAAGCGATCTCTACAATAATGGAAGTTCCCTGGCCGCAAGGAATTTTTATGATATCTGAGATGATTCCAGTTTGTCCACTGCTCTGCAAGTTTACATCCAATACGGCAAAAATTTGGTGGCGTGATGTGCCAAACCTAGCCCACAGAACGCCGACATCCTTCAAATTGGTGCTATACCTTTTTGGTGCAGCACAAACATAGGGCATACAAAGTCAGAGCTTTCCAATTATGCAGATAGGCTTTCGTTTTTCCGAACGGGAGAGTTCCAAAGTCAATCTCGTGTCGTTCATTTACAAGACCAGTATGTACTAATAGTCTACGCTTGTACGACGTCCAGCTGGCTTACCCCCATCGGCTGTTACCCGCAAGTTATTGTACAGGCCATATCGCGTTCAAATAGCCTTCACGATTCTGAATGAAAGAGGGATGCGAGCTGAATCGCAAAAAGGATCTATGGTTAATATCTTTTTGTGCCCTAGAATTTACTTCATAGATCCTTGACAAATTATATCTTTTGTCTGTGGTTTTATTCAGATAATCTAACCTTCAGAGAGAAGGTCAGAAGAAAAAGAGAAGTGTTGGTCTCCTCTGGATCCCTCCTTTCCCCAATTCAATAACGCCTACAGTATCCTTGAAATGGCAACATAGGAAAACATTGTAGAGCGAGTCTTTATTTGTCGGTCTAATGGAGTCTTGTGGAGAGGATCCGGTCCTCTTCGACTCAGTGAAGCCACTTCCATTTGCGGTACGGGTTGCGCGGCGCCTCAACTGCTTCATAAGAGGATGCTGGTGGCGCTACCTGAAAATTGTGTCGTACGAGTCTGGTTTATTCATTGGAAATCGCAGAAGTTTTTGTGAAAGGAGGTGCTAAGAGGAAAGTCCTATAAGAGGCTAATTGGAAGAAATTTGGGCGCTACAGAGGAACACGGTAGACTGCGAAACTACCCGGGCCTACCCACATTTTCCCATAAGCAATCGAACCTTTCAGTTGGGATTCTCCGGGGGGAAAAAGCTCATACAGAAAAGGCTCACATTTTAGCACAGCGCGAGATATTAAAGGTGAAATCGTGCTCACTTGCAAAGCGCACGTATTAATGAGGAGATCCTAGCGACCTCAGGAGGCCCAGGGTGTCTCCCAGGCAACCGTGGGCTAGACTTCGAGACCAAGTTCTTAGTTCTAGTACGGTACGCTACGATAGAGCAAGTGGATGAAATGCCCAAAAACTCACCACTGGTGTTGGAGGCGCATCATAACCTTGTGGTGCTGCTTGCAGGCGCTGAAGTTGTCTTTGGCTTCTCGGAATAGCGATTAACACCCAAGCTACGCTCTGGGCACTTGCAGTAGTTTGCATCGGGACCAGGTTGTCCTAAAAACGTTATTTTTTGTGCATGTATGTTACAACTTGACCGACCTCACGGTACTAAATGAACATTACCAGGTGCTCCCATGATACCTTGTTGACCAGGTTCGCCAGGCATTCCAATCTGTCCTGGTGGTCCTGCTGGTCCCACCTCGCCTTAAACAAAATTTGAATTCAATCGCGGCACTACTTACTTTTTTCCTGGACCAATGTGATAATAATTCAGATTCATCTCCGACTCACCGTCGCTTCCACGCTGTCCATCGCGTCCTGGATAGCCGGCTGGTCCTTTTTGACCTTGTGGTCCTGGTTCTCCTTTGTCTCCCATAGGTCCCTTACCTCCACGGGTGCCTTCTCTTCCCGGAACACCTGGTTCACCTAGTCTTCCAGGCTTACCGCTTTCGCCAGGGATTCCAGGTTGTCCTGAAAAGAATGTGTAACGTATGATAGGTGAAGTGATAACAAGGAGCATGTCTCTTACCAGGATATCCTTCCCTGCCTGGCTCCCCGAGTCGTCCCGGAGCACCTGGTGCACCTTCCTCTCCCATTGGTCCAGGCTCTCCAGGAGATCCAGGTGGGCCGCGAGCTCCGTGTGGACAGACACGACAGCCCTTGTTTCTGAAAATGATGGACAGTAAAAATCAAAAGAAAAGAAATTTCAGTAGATTAGGAGCATTCAACGTAAAAGAAGTTAACAAGTAGAGTTTTGAAAAATTACCGAGTCGATGGTAACTGGTGGAGCAATTCCAGCCAGCCCTGGTGCTCCTGGTTTACCCGGTGTTCCAGGTTCTCCATCCTGGCCCTGTAATCGGACTTTGGATTGACAAGTCTTTCACGTT